CAGCACCCCTTGCCGCATGGAGAATGTATGCAGGGTTCTTAAGAAAGCACGGGGAACCGAACTCGCTTGTCCCTCTAAGTGCTCGATGAGCGCTCGCAGTTCAGGGTCGTCTCGTTGGAGTGCTGCCATATCGCTGACGTCCAAAGCGCCGAGGAAACACTCATCGTCGTCTTCGATACAGGCAGGTCCGGCCTCGACAGGAGCTCTTGAGAGTGTAACGAACGACCTTCGCGGCCGGACCTGGACGCGGATCGCCACCCCTTTTGTAACATTCCCGAGGACGCGCCTTTCGCTGACAATCTCAAGCCGGGATTATTTTCCCCGCTGCCCTGGTACCGTCGACAAAAGAGCAAGACAAGCCGTCGTCGATACCGGCTCAAGTTGGGTGCTGAAACGGAAATGCGTTCTCTTCGAGGCGTCCAAGCAGGAACCAACGGCCCCGGTGATCCCTGCTAAGCCGAAAGAAGGAGATAAGCCGTGAACGGGAACTGCCCGGATATCGGCGTCCAAGGTCTTCTCCGTCCCGACTAGGGAGGGGGACGGTATTCTCCGGGCGTTCGTGCTCTCTTAGAGCCAACAAGACGATTAACCGGTGTGTCCGTTTGGGCGTGCTCATAGGCGGTGCCCGGACGTTTGGGAATGAGCTTCTTGGTGTCACCTCGACCTAGATTCCAGGAGCAAGGCCAAATCTCAAGCGTCACTAAAGAAACGGCTGCCACTACAAGCCTGGAGGAACCGGAAGAGCACTTATCCTCTGTGTGTGCGTGTGCGTGCGAGTGGGCGGTGCCTGACCAGTTGGGGAACGGCGTCCTGGCCTAGGGATCGACGTAGGAAAGGGGGACCTTATAAAGAGAGCGGTTTTACGCTCCCTCTGCGTGTTCTCACGTTGTTCTCATGCCGAACGGCAGACTGTACATAGTATGTAAATAAACAGTTTGAGAAGAGACACCCTGGCTCGCTACCAACTCTGCCCGATGTCCTGGGCGACGCATGGCTCCAGCGGAGATCGACTACATGGACAAGCCCCGAGTCTTTACAACTGGATGGCGGACGGTGGGATCGACAGCTACGACCATTGAGCGGCAGCAACAACGGATCTCATGGGCCGTGAGCCGAGTCTGGTGAGTGACGGCATATTTTCTCTGTCGCCAGGCCTGTAAGATCGAGGTGTATTTTGCAGGGGCGTAAGTAACTACCGAAAAGGCAATTTTAAGGTTGTTGTGTGTCGGTAGTGCAGAGTTTTGCCACCCAGATAGGTCACAGACATCGACCTGCAGCGTTTGCTAAAGTGTCAGTTGCTCGACTTGTGTGAGGAGCTCGGGGTAGACGCGAACACATCGATGAAAAAACCGGAGCTTGTTAAGGCTATCCAGGACGAAAAACTTGACAACGAGGAAATCGAAGAGATGTGGGAAAGAATCAAAATAAAAAAAAGGAGTAGTAAACTTGAGGAAGAAAACGAGAAAGGACGGACAAACACAAACTTCCAACTGGCAACAACATTTAATAACACCAAGAGTTTGCTTATATACAGGAAAAAAGGGGGGGGGTGAAAAGGGGGGTGGAAAAGAGGAGCACTATGCCGTCAAGGGTGCGTCGTCGCTGTCGGGAAAGTCGGGGGAGATAGCTCCGAACTAAGAAATCTTATCTCTTTCCCCGAAAGGGCAATGGAAGGGGAGCCGATGTTGTCCTTGGATCGACACATGGCGAAGGCTTCCAGAATCTTTCGACCATACCTCGAGGGGTGACCCCCGATTCTTGTAGTAGAGGGAAGGACGGCCGAGCAGGAAGTACATTCCGATGCGTGTTTGGCGATCGGGTGGTGAATGACCTCTGAACCGTCGGAGACCGCTTTTTTAACCTCGTTCGCGTGCTCTCTCAGGCGGTCGTTTAAGCAGCGCCCCGTTTGGCCGATGTATCGGGCACCACAGGACATAGGTATTGAGTAAACACACTCTTTGCGGCAAGGAACGTAACAGGTTTTGTGGTTCTTTTGGCAAGGGGGCGCCGGTCCGGGGCTGTTGACTTTTTTGCAAATGGATGCCAATTTATACTTACACGAGACGAAGCACGAGACGAAGCAGAATTCAAGGAATTAGAACTAGAAAAACTTCGTCTCGAGGTGGAGCTAAGGAAAACGAGCGGAGGACGGGAAACGGAGGTAGAGGGCACCCGAAGTCTCTATGACATGACGAAGCTTATTCAGGCTTTCAAGGTGGGACAGGACATGGGCCTCTGCCTGGTAAACTTCGAGAGAGCTTGCGAGAGGGCCCGTTTTAATCGGGTATCTTGGGCCAGAAGGTTGCTGAGTGTTCTGCCATGCGAGGCAGCCGGGGTAATCGCGAGGTTATCTGCGGACGACTCTGACGACTACGACCGCGTGAAGAGCTGCCTGCTCAAGAAGTATCGGTTGTCGGCAGAAGCGTTCAGGCAGAAGTTCAGGGCGTGACCAAAAAGTCGGGAGCCAGTTATGCGGAGTTCGCATACGAACTTCGGTCGTACCTTGTCGAGTGGATGAAGGTCGCCGAGTCGTATGACGACAAAGAGAAAATGCTGGAGACGGTCGCGCTCGAACAGTTCTATAAGACTCTTCCTGAAAGCATGCGAACCTGGATTCAAGATAAGTCAGGAGTAGACTCTGCTTATCGAGCCGCAGACCCTGCGGATGAGTACAGTTCCCGTAGAGGCGGAAAAGAGGGAATGAGGAGAGCCTTTGAGAAGGAAAGCGGAGATGAGCGGAAAAAAGGGGGCTGGAAAAGAACAGAGTCGCGAAAGGAGGAAGACAAGGAGGAGAATATCTCCACGACCTCCCGGGGCAACGGGCCAGACAGTCAGCAAAAGAATAAACCCTTTGAGGCCAGGAGGCCGATAAGGTGCTTCAATTGCCATGAAACTGGGCACATTGCCGCGGGATGTCAAAAACCAAAGGTGGTTTTCGCCTTAGCGAGTAAGTGCGAGGAGAATGAGGAGCTCCCGAGTCCGTATCTTTTCGACATGACAATGAACGGAAAGTCGTGTGACGGAAAGTCGCAGACCCTGTGCCACGGAGCGGGATGGTCCGGTCACTTGGGCAACAAAAAGACGAAAGATCGGCTCCTCACGGAAGTCTACTGGCCGGGATGCTTCCGAGATGCCGAGTCTCAGGTGCGGGCGTGCGATGTCTGTCAGAGAGTGGGAAAACCCAATGAAAAATGCAAAGCGTCCCTGAGACTTGTGCCGATAATCTCTGAGCCATTCAGGCGGGTGGTCATTGATGTGGTGGGTCCTCTTCCGGCTACTAAGGCGGGGTACCGCTATGCTCTCACGGTCATGTGCGCGGCTACCAAGTTCCTCGAAGCGGTCCCCATGAAGGAACAGAGTTCAGTGGAGGTGGTGAACCCTGCTGGAAATGGGCGATGTGAAATGAGGCCAAAATTCACATTGAAACAATGTGCAACTGTAGGTCCAGACGCATTGAGCAATATGCATTTATGAAACAAAAACCTATGTGCACCAATTGGTAATCCTTTAGGGAATTCACATTGGGCTGAATTGGTAATCCTTTAGGGAATTCACATTGGGCTGATTGCATTTATGAAACAAAAACCAATGAGCAGCAATTGGCAACAGGTACCCCAGTGCACATTGCATTGAGGGTATTTATGGGGCAAAAACCAATGAGCAGCAATTGGCAACAGGTGCTCCTGTGCACATTGGGTTGATGGTATTTATGGGGCAAAAACTAATGAGTGGATATTGGCAACAGGCCCCCCTGTGCACATTGGATTGATGGTATTTATGGGGAGAAAACCAATAAGCGGCAATTGACGACAGGCACCCCTGTGCACATTGGGTATGTTGATGGCGTTTAGGGGGCGAAAACCAATGAGCGGTAATTGATGACAGGTGCCCCGGTGCACATTGGTTTGATGGTACCCAGTCAACCAGCAAACGTCTATTAAACATCCGAGAGATGTGTTGTTCGGACATTTAACATATCCAGTGGATATCTGCTACGATTCATCCAACATTAAAAGTATCTACTGTGCAGTGCAAAATGGTTCCCCAGAAAACGTACCACTAACGCAATCTGGTTGATGCAGCTGGACATTCAGGACCATTGTAGGATGTTCAGCCTGATCCTGTGGATGTAGCATGTACATACCTCAGAAATATTACCTTTCCTGGTATAGGGACCAGCCCTATGCCAGGAGGGCAAGGAAATGCCTAAGCAGCCTTCATTTTATGGTAGCATATAGCGTGTAAACTGTCCTACAGAAACATTTAAACGGATAAGAGTCCAATTCTTTACAAAACAAGAGCTCAGAGGGCAGATTTGCTGTATGGCCCGTGCATGCTGTCAATGTATACCCAAATGGCGCATTACAGATGTATAATGTAGCAATCAGGCCCGCAGCAGACATTCTTTATATTGAAGTTTTTTTTTTCACCATCAAGCTCAGAAGCTTTACCACAGGATCAATGCAGACGACACTGACAAGGAAGGCGACACTACTGATGCTGACTCGTTTTAGTGAGGTGAATCTCGCCACATGCGAGAGAACTGAAATACTGGACACAAACATTGTCATAAGCTATGACGAACGGCCCTGAGGAATTGACTACTGAAGTCTAAGGCTTCAGTAGTCATATGCTCTAGTGACGAGGACACCAGAATTCCATGAGAGCTGTAGCACCGACTGCATGGCAAAAGATGCCGCTGCAGTCTTGCAGCGTAACTTTGAACGTGAGTAGCGCACTAAATTCCTGCCCAGCCTGTCAGGCATGCACATCCGTTCTGTAGAAAAAGTTGCAGTGCCAAACAAATCGCCATTAACTCTTTATTGTTACTGTTAGACAGACGAGCAGTGCTTGATGCTTCTAAAATAAAGTATAATTTTTGAACAATGCTGCATAGACAGCATGAGGTTTTCAAAATAAATTATACTTACTGAACAATGCAGGATACTTTGCTTAAAAAAAATGTCTGATAAACATAATAAAAAGCTCAGCGCATTCAAGGCCCACTTAAGGCAGTTCACATCTCTCTCTCCTGTGGTGCAGAATGTTCCTGAAAAGCAACGAAAAAATGTTACGTTAAAGATATGTGAGCAGTGGTTTACCATTCTTTGAAACAAAACTAATAAAACAGTGAAGTTCAAAGTGAAGTGACTCAAATATACAAGAATTGGAACTGATGTAAATAAATCACAAGCATTTTATGCCTTGTTTTTAAAGCACATTCATGCTGGATGTGTGTACTGTACGTATTGCCAACTTTTGTTTGTTAGATTCACATCAAATATCAGTGTTCTTAAAATTCGTTGTCTATGCATTCTTTTTAATGCATAATAAGGTACTATTACATAATTAAATTTTTCCTCCTAAAGAAACACTCCAAACAATTTTTTTTATTTAAAATTATTCAATACTGTTCACACCTGTAGTATTTGCTCTCAAATTAAACCAAAAAAGGTGTCACTGGCTTTAATATTTAAAGCATTCAAATACTCTCATATAGAAATTATGCTTTGAAGAAATTGCACACCATACTTACTGTTCTAGAAAAGTTTGATTTTTGTGCTAACATCAGCTTAATAAGACCAGCTTACCATTTGAGATGACTGATGTCAGGCAGGTGCGTGGCGAAGTTAATCCGTGACCATGGTTTCTACCTTGAAGTCTTCACATTTATGGCAGCTCTGCACTGCATCTGATAAAAGAAAGCAACAGAAGTATGACACCAACAATTCCATAAATCTGGTTCCATGTGAAGCGATCTGCACTACTGTTCCAGAGATTACTTACTTATGATGCACTCAGCAAGGTGAAGGTTCCTGAATGTCAACTTTCTCTTACGTCCTTCCCACAAAAATTGGCGCCCCAACTGGTCAGTCAGCAACCGCTTCGTGATCTGTCTCGTACAGGAAGCATAACCAGATCCGCAGACTTTGCTGAGCTGTCGAACATAAAAAAACATCCACATGGCAACCGCTTAGTGCAATCATAACTATTGATTGGATGTTTCTGTTTATTTTTAGTCAACCTTGGCAGGTGTTTATCGGCATCCATTTCTTCATTAAATGTGCTGCAAAAATATTCCAAAAGCCGGGAATCATAATGATAAAAAAAACTGCACCGACTTTAGTCAACAACATTAACAATTTAATCAAACGTTTCGTCTCCCATGTGGGAAACGTCGTCGGTGGAACCTTGAAGCAGGAATGAGCGAAAGAAACTTCAACAGTCCTATTTAAGCAAGTCCGCATACACATTGAGGAGGGGGCCGCAGCTGGAGTTACAAGCTGATGAGTCATTTCGGATGAACCATGATTACTACGAACCTGCTTGGACGCCACCTTTGCTCACGCGCCAGAGTGGACGCATTCTCAAAGTCGAAACTGTGTCCCGTATTCCAACAATGGTCTACGAGTTCCGTCTTCGCTCTTGTCGCATGCGTGGCCTTTGCCATGTCCCTTTTGTGACTTTCATTTAGCTTTAAACAGCATTGAATCATCAATCCAATTCACACATGAAGTTGAACAGAACGGTGCAAAGCCTTTTCTGTATGTTAATGTGTGTTCCTAAAATAGTACCGGTCGCTTATATACTACAGTGTACTGCAAAGCTGTGATACAGGCAACCTCTTAAGCTTTAACTCGCATCATTCTGTCGAACATAAAAGGGCTGTCGTAAAAAACCTACTACACCGGTCCGAACGCATTTCTTTTAATCCTCAATTGCGCACTTCTGAGAAAAAAGTCAAATTTGGGGGATTTACGTGCTAAACCAACGACAGGCATCTGGCACGCCCCAGCGGAGGACTGAGGATTAATTTAGACTACCTGGGGATCTTTTGACGTGCAACCGAAAGCTCGGTTACACGGCGCCTGCTCCGCAATAAGCCTCCGCCACATGGGGATCCGTAGGCCAGCGCTCTCGTCTCGGAGTTTACCGAGGCGGCTTGCGCGCTTCTGAGGATGCTGTTATTGTTGACCTGCTGATGAAGCGGAATTATCCGAAACGTTTTATTGATAACACGCACAAACAGATGGGACAAAGAAGTCAGGATAATGGACAACTTAGGACAGGGCAAGCAACAATACCCTATTTGAGAGGTGCTTTTGAGTCCATTCGCAGGGCCCTCGCCCCTCTGAATATCCGCACAGCTTTCAAACCCCACCATAAACTATGTGACTTCATTTCTAAACCTAAAGATTACACCCCCCCAGAGTCCCAGTGCGGTGTTGTGTATAAAGTGAACTGTCTAGACTGTGACACATCTTACATTGGGGAGACAGGCTGGAAGCGCTGCACTCGCCTAAACAAACACAGCGAAGACGGAACTCGTAGACCATTGTTAGTATACGGGTCACAGGTTCGACTTTGAGAATGCATCCACTCTGGCGTGTGAACAAAGGTGGGGTCCACGAAGGTTGGTGGAATCATGGTTCATCTGAAGTGACTGATCAGCTTGCAACTCCAACCGCGGCCCCCTCCCCCGATGTTTATGTGGACTTGCTTAAATAAGATTGTTAAAGTTTTTTCGCTCATTCCTGCTTGAAGGTTTCACTGATGATGTTCCCCGCATGGGAGACGAAACGCTTGATTAAATTGTTAATCTTGTTGAGTAAAGTCGGCGCAGTTTTTTTATCATTAAATTTGCTACTAATATTTATACCTGCTCTTATTGAGGCACTTCCGACATTTAAACTGAGGAATTTTGACGTCTTTATCTCAATATGGCGATTGGATTAAAGATTATACCACTGGGCACGGGCTTGGGCTTACCCGAAAGCCCAGACCTGGGATGGGCTCGAACTTTTGACTGTGGGCCCGTTCCGAGCACGGGCCAGCACGTTGATTGGCCTGGTTCGGGCTCGGGCCAGCTGTAATTGACCATGATGCTGACAGAGGCCATCGTAGAAATCGGCGTCTCGGTTATCTCAGCAACATCAACTCCAGGACCACTAGACAAGTACCCATGAACGTAGGCCCACCTTAAGACAGTGGACACCAGCGTCGTTAATCATGAGGTGAGCTTCAGGTTAATCCCAGTGGCGTGATGTTTTTGCTTGTGGCGATAAATAGCGGCAAACCAAAAATAAACGGACATTGAAGCCCTCTGTCAGGAATTAAAAATGGGGGACTCAAAAACATTAAAGGGACAATGAAGACGATTTTATTTAATTTTTTTAAGTGGTCTTTTTATGCTTCTTGGGAACATAGCATGCTGCCCAATTTTTTGCAGCCATTTGTGACGCGTATTTCTGTGCCTACGAAAGAAGTAAAGAAACCGAAACTGAACAATCTCCATTCTCGTTTCTGGGCCTCCAAAAACGGAGGTGACGTCAAGTGTGAATAGTCGGTATCGGTAGTATTTAGGAGATCGAGATTCTGGTTACCGCGGTGGGTTATAGCAGCGCGGTGGTGGGGTCGTTTCGTCGAATCTGTCAACATGGACAACAATGCCACTCTCGCGAGCGAGTTCGAGCTTCCGTTCAGTAACCCAACACAAAGGGAACGGGAGTACGTGTGTGGCGGCCTCCGCCGTCACCCGAGGGAGACCGCCCAGCCGGTAACGAGCGGCCCGCATGCCGGAGTGCCCATAGTTGCTCGTTGGCCGTTTCGCGTCCAGCGTAGCAAAGAAAAAAAAACATTTATGCTGCTTTATTTACGGTTTAGTAATCCTTTCCGGTCCGATTTATGCTTTTCATGGTTACTCAAGCGGAAATTAGAACAGTATTCTTAAAAACCGAGAACCAAAACGTGACTGAGGGCGCGTTTCTCGTTTCGACCAATCGCTGAGGCGTCTCTTGTGACGTCGCGCTTCTTGGCCTCGCATCGGTCACGTGAGCTCCGCTTCTCCTGGCTTCTCCCGCAACTCTCGGGGCGTCGCTCCAGTCGATTCCGGTACGATTATTACCGCGACTGTTTAATTGATTTGCGCGGCACACAAGCGCCGGTTTCGGCTGAAATTTGGGCAACGTGGCCTGAGACGTGCTTGGAACCCAGTTCAATCGCCAAAAAGATGTCCAAAATTGCCTTCATTGTCCCTTTAACGCTAAACAATCTCAACCTAATTGATCATGAGAAACACTTTCTCTCTCGAATAATAGCTGGGAAGCACTAACATAGCGGCAATGATGTAGTGGGGAAGCTTACAGGCCTAGTAAACAATTATACACATACTGGGGAATGCCTGGCACATATTCAGGTATGAATACATGCTCAGATCTACAAAATATTTTAGGAGAAGATACAAACTGCAAATTAGTAGTCTTTCTTAGAAAACACATTGACGTATCTTAATGAAAGTGCTAAAACCCATAAAAACACTTGATTACAATTATTTTAATAAAAAAAAAGTTCTGAATATGTACATGACACCAGCAGTCATAACTTTGATTTAGTTCATCGCAAGCTATATTTCTCTGGCAGCAAACGAAGACAAACCTTTTAACTGTGCAGTGAACCAGAATTAATACAATACGACGAAGTTTCCGTATACCACTTTAAAATAACCACAAACAACGCTTTTCAGATCAGTATGTTTTGCTATAAAAGGCTTATTATAAAGCCATAGTCCTTACAATATATTATAAAGCTTTTAGTCTTGCTGCATCCAGTTGTGGCTTTGCTTAGCCTTTGTGCGGTTTGAAGGTCTGCCGGTTACAATTCGCCAAGGAGGCCATCTGTGGCGGACATAATTACCAAACCTTACCGGATGAACATTGATTCCCTCTTCTATTTGAGAACTTTCGTGTGTGAAGTCTTGTTGAGCCACATGCTATTGCCAATGCACACATAGAAGACATAAACTTCAGTTCATCTTTGAAGCAGCACTATGTACAGGAAATTTACCAGCGCAATATTCATGACTCCAGCGAAATCGACGCCGCGTAGCGGCAGGGCCGAGAAGCTCAGGAGAGGAGGTGGTCCCGACTCTGTCGTCTGCTATCGCTGCTTGGTTCTCGTAGGCAGCATAGAAACAAACATTGTTTCCAGTAATTATTTTAATGATTCCACCGGGTCCTTCCTACGCACTGAGTAGATGAACGTTTCTAGGGTCGAAAAATCGCTTTGCATTCAAATGTAACACCGATTTTACGCTGCAGTGCAGGAATTTGTGATGGTCCGCATGCTGAACAACGAAAACGACCTTCTTTCGTCCGAATTTTGCCTGAGCAGCGCGCCATCTATAGTCCGCTGAAGTCGCGAATAACCTGGACTGGGATTGAAAACAGGGGTCCTATTTGTCAACGGCATGCCTCAAAATTAATTTTGTTGATAAAAAAAAAATTGTAGCAATATTTACGCGGCAAAACGCAATTTGAGTTTGGCACAAAACCGAACCGGTGTAACTAGCAGGTATCCTTCTTACCTCATTACTGTCAGAGTTAACGATTTGAATGATTCGACGTGATCCCTCACCCTCTCCTCCTCTTCTTCATCTCCTCTCTCTCCCCCAACGAACTAACAAACGAACACGCACGCACGCATACACATACCTCTTCTCCAAATAGACACAGACTGCGCCACGCCTTGACAGATATAATTCATTCTAACCTTAAGCCTATCAGCACAGAAAAAATGTTAAATCACATAACCTTTACCTAGTTTCTGGGCATATGAAAACAAACACACGGCACTTCTATCAATGAAATTCCTTGTACTTGTGGCGGCATAACTAAAGAAAATCTCAAATTTAAAATACGTCTTATGAATTGCTTCGCAAGCGCAAAAATGAAATTACAATTACCTGTCTCATACAAGCTTCCACCAGCCCTCCCGGGCAGTCACTCATCTCGTCGGAGGTACTAGCACCCGCTTACTGTCACTGGGTTTCCGCGTCACTCTGCGATCCTGAAACAACCGGCGCCGAGAGTTACTCCCACATATTGTGCTTAAAGCTGCAATTTTTAACTTAAAGGGGCCCTGCAATCATATTTAAGCGTCCACCTTTTTTGCGGTTTCCACGTCTCTTGAGGTTCGGGCAAGCCAGCAGGCACGGTGAGAGTAACTAAATATCGGTGCGTCATATTTTAACCGGACGACACGGAAACCTCCTCCACCGACGAGGGCGACCCACGGTACCGAAAGCACACAAAATGTGACGTCTTTGGTCCTTTGCTTACTACTGGTCAGAGCCGTTAAAAGCTTCTTTTTAGTCGAAATACATGATATAAGTGGCGCGAACCGTTTCACTTATTTATAAAAGTAGTTTTTGTTCAGTATTTTAGATCAGGAAAGAAACAAATGCAGTTCATAAAGTACGGAAACAAGAAATGACCCGTCGACATACCCGCCACCAAGCGGTGGAAAAGGCGGCGCATACTAGAAAGGAGTAGTGGGATCAGGCGCCGACACGGAAAGGTTCCGGATGTACGCGGCGGCGCTGCGGTCGTTTGGGCAGGAGCATCCGACCGGCTGCGAGCGTTCCGAAGGCCTTCGGCGAGAAGCTTTGTCTTGGGTTCTGGCCGTTTCGCGGTGTGGCAGCGCAAAGTAGCTCCCACTCTGAACCACTGATCTCTATGTCTATTTGCTGGATCGCGTTTGACCAGCTCCTCCTATGGACCGGAATGCGGTCACTGGCGGCCATCTTTAGGTAGAGTTATATCATCTCTAGCCATCATAGTAATATGGCGGACAGCGCAATGGCGGCAGGCTGCCATAAAAATAGCCGTAGATCTAGTACACTGTACCGTGGGTGACATTTCGTGCTTGATTGAAGTTGTTCGACGAAGCAGATTCTTGAAACCCGGCGTGAACGGTAGCCTCACCTTTGAGGACCCGGCAAAAGTTCTACGAAAGCGCAGCACCGGGGGAAAACAGCGCAGCTCGCATCAAAAGCAGACTCCTTACCGTCGTCTGCTTTCGATGCTTCTTTCGATGCGACTTTTGATACGTGCTGTGCTGCTTTTCTCCCGGTGCTGCGATTCCGTGAAACTTTTACCAGGTCCTCAAAAACCGGACTACTGTTCACGCCGGGTTTCAAAAACATGTTTCGTCAAAAAATTTTAATCAAGCACGCAACATCACCCACGCTATTTTGACCGCAGCCTGCCAACCCACCTGCCAAAACGCTATCTGCCATGGATGGATGATAGCGGCTGCAGCAGCTTACATTGGCTAGAGGTGATATAACTCTACCTAAAGATGGCCGCCAGTGACCGCATTCGCGGAGCGGGCAAACGCAATCCAGCAATTGTCATAGAGATCAGTGCTCTGAACTGATCTTTACCCCGTGTTTGCTGTCGTTTGTGGCCAATGAAGTGTCACGCCGAATTAGTGTTTAGTCGCGCAGCAAACGCAATGAAAGCTGGTCTGGCTGCCCGCTGCATACAGCCTATCCAGAACACGCTTCAATGGCGCCCTCTCGCGCCGTCGACTCGGAGTGCGGCAGCCGTGAGCGCTGGATGAGCGCACTACTTCTCCTCTAGTTCACGGCCACTCTCAAGCAACCAAGGACGTCATGAGGGAGGCTATTTTTTGCTTGTTCTTGTAATTTTAATTTGCTTATAACTTTTAAAAAAAAGGGAATTTCGAGAAAAGAAAAATTTCACTAAGTTACTACGTTCAGTCCGCTCAGGTTCGGTGCAAATTAAAAATTAGTAAAAAGGTCATTGCAGGGCCCCTTTAAAGGAGATGGTCACTAGACAGGGCACAACGCGTGTGGAGACTAGAACTTACCAAACAACTTTAGGATCCGCGCCTTGAAGAAGCCCGATTCCGTTTCGTCGCAAGGCTTGACGGGCAGAAATTTGAGATGATATGTGGCTCATGGTCGTCCTCAAGACGTACGCTTGCATAATCGTTCGTAAAATTCCGGCCGCTCAACTGGTCTCGACTCTGCAACGCGCTGCAACGTGCTTCACGCGGTTAGACTTCCCGCGAACGTTGCTTCGGCAGCTTCGGTTCTTCTTCTACGCTTCCTTGTCCTCCGGCCGGACCGTTCGGTTTATCACGTCGGACCACTTCCTGACGCAGGGGATGTATCACGTGACTATAATACTTCGTATTTTAACTCTTGTTTTTGTTTGCTGAAGTAAACGAATACTTAAAAATTTACTTATTGACCTTAATTTAGCAAAACATTTGCATAAATTGCACTTTGAAAACTTATTTTGCTTTTATATGTCATGCGGGATCATAAAGATCATACATACTAAGTCTAGAGGAAAAGGTCCGCCATTTTCCCATACATTCTGGCTGCCGCAAGCGGCGGATCACTGATCTCTATGACAATTGCTGGATCGGGCTTCCCCGCTTGTTCGCTGCAGCGCAAGTGAAGCCACCGGACTTCACTCGCTTGGGATACGATTTGCCGTTTTTGCTAGCCTTTGCTGCGGTTTTCCAGCGTGCTGTGGACACGTTTTCTACTCGTTCGTCGTCATTCGCCGAAGAAGTTTTTTGAAGACTCTGTGTATTGTTGAGACTTGCCGTTGTGAACACGTGGAAAATTTTACGAAAGTGCAGTGTCGCAGGAAAAAGGCACAACGCGTCGAAAGGAAGGGCTGGCGGCGTGTTCAAAGCTTCCTTGGCACGCCGAAGTGCCGTGTCTCTGTGCCTTCGCACGCTTGGATACCGACCAAGAACCGACGCCGTGTGTATGTGTCTAGTGAGTGCAATGTCCGTGAAGCTGTTCGTGCCTCTGGATCAGCGTCTTTTCCCCTCGCGGTTTAGGAACGAGCTTAAGCGTCCACTAGCGACGGAAGATGGGGGGAAGGTACGTCTTTTTTTCGTCCATAGACGATTTACACAATACCGTGCACAACAGCTCCTCATCACTGATCCGTGCTGGCTTATTATCAACCTACTTAATTGCACTTGACGTTTGAGCGCGGCTCGCCTAATTGTAATTGGTCAGCAGATTGCACACGACCATATCGGCCGCGCTTCAAAGATTTTCATTCTCGCCGTCTTGTACTTTTGCTTTCGAAAACCCCCCTGGCTCCACAACGTTGCCCTATTCGTGCTCCCACGGAATCTATTAGAGTAGATTTGGGACATCGCCATGGTTCATATAGTACATAAGAACACGTACAGCTAGATCGCTCCCTTTTATTGATAGCAACTCACCGGAACAGCTGGACGATCCAGAACTCCGTGGCCGATATATATAAATGATCTAAAGGCTTCTACGCGCGACACACGTTCAGAACTTTGGCGCGGCGTCAATTCTTGACCGGTATCCAAGCGTGCGAAGGCACAAAGATGCATCACTCGGCGTGCCAAGGAAGCTTTGATCACGCCGCGACACCGGCGACACTTGTTTTCGACGAGTTGTACCTTTTGATACGGCTTCACGCACATTGCACTCGCAAAACACATCCACACGGCGTCGATTCTTGGTCGGTATCCAAGCCTGCGAAGGCACAGAGACACGGCACTTCGGCGTGCCAAGGAAGCTTTGAACACGCCGCCAGCCCTTCCTTTCGACGAGTTGTGCCTTTTTCCTGTGACACTGCACTTTCGTAAAATTTTCCACGTGTTCACGACGGCAAGTCTCAACAATACACAGAGTCTTCAAAAAACTTCTTCGGCGAATGACGACGAACGAGTAGAAAACGTGTCCACAGCACGCTGGAAAACCGCAGCAAAGGCTAGCAAAAGCGGCGAATCGTATCCCAAGCGAGTGAAGTCCGGTGGCTTCACTTGCGGGAGCGGCAAGCGCGATCCAGCAATTTTCATTGAGATCAGTGCGGCGGATCATGCAGGCAGACCTTCGGGGTCCCAAACACGGTTACATCATCAGAGCAGTTTCGTGAACTTTAACAATCCACGAACTTACCGGTGGAAAGATATTCGCGTTCCTTTCGAAGCTTTCTTTTTGCATAGCGCGCAGATGTACGGCCTCGCGTTAATGCTAAATTAAACCATATACCCGGCTTCGCCGGTGAGGCGCGGCTGGGCACGGTTGAGGAATACGAAACTGCGCAACCACCAGATTTCCGAGATTTCGACAGAAGGGAAGTTAATGCAGCGTAATGACTTTATTGCTTTTTATAAGCGTTAGAATAGCTCAGAATTTAGTTTACAACGTTAAATTATTACTGTTTATATTGCTGAGAGTTTACACTCTTCGCGTTTACCATGGCAACGTTGCTTTCTTTCTCTCGTGTTCTGTAGCTCTCTTTCGCGATCGTTCACTCGGGACCCCGGGTGTCGGCGCACGGGATTTGCCACTCCTCCTCACCCACCTTTACCCCCCTGTGCGGGATGTATGATCTCTATGCATGCGGGTGACCCCAGTGTTCACTCTATTGACTCCAGCTCACTCTATATTGTCACGTGGTGTAACCCGCAAGCCCGCAAGTGTGACTGATGCACTTAAGAAAATAATAAACGTTTCTAAAAATTATGGTATTACTTAATTGTCAAATGTAAATACTGAATATATATTAAACTTATAACGGAGTAATTTTTATTTGTCATTTTAATTAGAAAATTGCATTTGCTGCGGGACGACGTCGGTGCGAATTTTAAAATTTGGATTTGAGACACGTAGGGTGTCGCGCTGTGCGACCATGAACCCAAACAAAAAAATATACTTGGAGCCACTAAGTATACCCAGCTTGCCAAGGACAACAGTCCTGAGACGAAGTTGTGTCCTGAAAAATGCTACAACAGGCCAGGGACCAGAACCGACGTCGCCGACAGCAGTTTCTGTAAACTCGGTTGTCTCGGAACACGGCGAGACAAAAACTCCCCGTGAACTAAGTAGTACCAATGAAACCAGAAGCGGTCACAGTACTGGGCCAGTTAGTGAAGACACAAGTGATAAAATTGTGAAAGTGACGGGAGATTTGAAGACCAATTTCCTGTCCAAGTTTCCGAAAAGGCTACTGCCAAAGACGAATGTAACGAGTCTGACGTACCCTGTTTCGGCTGGCCTTCATTTTAATTGGACGCAAAATGAAGGGCTTTTGAATCTCGAAAACTTCATTGCTGGAGTGTACACTCTTCCCGGCATCAAGGAAAACTACAACGTTGGGAAGCCAGAAGCCAAACTAAAGGCCCAAACTGCCAACAAGCGCGTAAAATGCCTTTCAAAAAGGAACTTCCTTGCTCAACTACAAAGTGGAAAGCGCTGCCTGACACTTACTGTGCGTGAAACAAGGTGCAATCATAATTTCGGGAAGGTCATCCTTATTTCGTGTGTGTGTGTGTGCGCGCGCATTTTATGTGCTTTTTTTTTTAATGACTTCTATGGTGTTAATAATTATTGGATGTTATTCGGCACTACCGGCTTTTCTTTTCTGTTAATAAAAAGCATGCCCACGATAGAATGTGCACGTGATCTGCCGCCCCAGAATGAGCGCGTAGCCTCTGCTAGGGCTCAAACAGGATACGTTCACATGGCAAAATGGAAGCCTGAAGTATCGCATTTTTTCGCCAACTCCGCCAAAGTTTTAAAGTCCCGACGTCGGAAGTAGGAGAGCTTTGGACCAATCGTGAAAGATGATAATAGTATTTTTGAGTCAGTGTTATTCTGTTTTTGACCCGGTTTTACTCTGATTGGATCGGTTCTGGAGCGAAATTTATACAAAAACGAGAACGTTCCACTCCGAAACCAGGTAAAACTGAATAAAACGGAGCAAAGTCTAATGTGAATACATAATCCAGTTGGTGCAATCGTTTACGCTATTACTGTTACTGAGACATCCTGGAAAACAAGAGGACAGAATACACCGCTAAAACTGCAGAGTTCAGATGATACCTGAATTTCGTGGCTTGCCTATATATAATTATTCATGAATCTTGTGCATACTATGTGCACACTCAATGTTCCCGTTCTCCATAGACTTTTCTTTATGTTTTACTGGCAGCCGCATGTTTTATAATACGAAGGAGGACAGTACGTAATCAGGAAATTCTAAAACACGTGACAAAAAAGAGTTCATATTCACTTTATTAACTGAATATGTTATTTAATTAGTGTTTACATGGCCCAACCCAAGTTATATAGCTAAAAAAATGTTTATTTGACAGAGGAACCCATCGGGCACGCACGTATCTGCACGGGGGGGGGGGGGGGGGGGGGGGGGGGGGGGGCGGGGGGGGGCCATGGGACCCTTTCCCCCCCCCCCCCCTCCTCCCAAACCTTTCATTTGGTGGGGCCTCCTTTCCCCCCTCCCCCTCATACAGTATTTTGTCATGGGCGAATCAAAATCCTGGCTGCGTGCGTGCCATTGGGTATATTTGCGGCAAAAAGTTTTTTCCTGTGCTCAAAACATAAAACTTTAGTATATAACAACTCTAATTTCTCCACTAAGCATACTGTTTAACCTGATAGATGCCCACTTAATAGATTTTATGTTCTGTATTCCCAGTCGACCATTAAAAGTTCTCGATCCGAAATGCATTCCATTTCACCAATGAAGCTTTCAGTTTAACCAGTACAACTTGTTATTGATCCTATTGAAGGACCAATAGGCACTTGTATTCCGGACCAGAAAACATTCGTGTTGTTCCCATAGAAGTTTCTACTTGTCCCATAGAAGTTCCTGCTTAACCCACTGGAGTTCCTAATGGTACAAGAGAAGTCTGTATTGGTACGATATAACTTGTTATCGGCCCAGTAGAAATGCCAATCGGTACGATGAAATCCTATTGATCGCATAAAAATCTCTATCGGTCGCATAGAAAATTTTTGCAAGGGTGTGCTAATTTGGCGATTGAGCATTGTCACTGCCATACTGCACCGAGTTCACTTCTCTGCAGTGCATGGCTCTTTGCTATCTCCCGTACAATGGCTCTGCCACATAGCGCCACTGGCTGCAATGAGCGGTAATGAGCAAACTGAGTGTCGTGCACATTGACACAATTGGCATCATGGCGCTTGCCCCCTAAAGTTGACTTTCCCTCAACCGAT